GCATGACTTCACCTTTCCCGTTAATCAGTGTTTCTCTCTTAATTTCTCATTCTGCCAGTCTCTCTCTCTCTCTCTCTCTCTCTCTCTCTCTCTCTCTCTCTCTCTCTCTCTCTCTCAAAAGCATGAGACTGAAGTTCCCTCTGTGGGTCAGAATAATGCGCTCTGATGTGCAGTCGACACGTTGGATTTGATCCCAATGATCTAACGCAGCCCCTCGTCCTCCACGATGTTAAGCTGTAGCCCCCATTTAGCTATCGCTGTTGTTGTCCAGGCGTCTCCCCGACAAAACTTTTAAGCGTGGTCTGCCGCAAGCGAGCGACAGGAGCGGGGCTGAGCATCAGCTGGGTGCTTGGCTTGATGTTTAAAACACCTTTCTTTGTATCCATATCTCTCGCTAGAATCTCCCACCATCCAACTAACAACAACAACAACAACAACGTCAAGCCTTTGGGCTCTGAAAGTACAGCGCGGGCCGAGGACAAATACACATGCGTTAATCACAGGTTAAAATAATTAGTGGTGTTAAAAAAAAATGGGCGTTAACTTGACAGCCCTAGTTAATAGACAACTGTACAATATAAACATTATCATTATTGCTATAAACCTTTACATTTATTTTAATTTAAGCCCACAGTTGATGCTAGACATTAGGATGATGCTGCAGAGGAGATTTGAGGAAGATTTTCTGGCATTTTCTAAACTTTTAAAGCCATTTTTCATTCAAATAAACAGAGAATTACACTGAAATTCTTTCATTAACCAGATGATGCTTAATGTTCTTTGATATTAAACCATTTCCTGGTCCATATAGAGCGTAGGGAGGTGAGCACTTTGGGTGATATATCATTATAAGAACTTGTCATCGAAGTAAAGTCTACTTTTCCCATCTCCATCTGACATTTCCTAATTGGTCCTCGTGCTGACGTTACAAACTCGTTATCATTCAGAACATGTTTTACTCAAAATATCTCCAAATATTCCTGTTTTCCAGGTCATCAGTGTGCCCGACGGAGACTTCTTCTTCGACTTTGTGAGGCATCTGACGGACTGGATCAAGAAAGCTCGGCATGTGAAAGATGGTAAGGCAACAAACACAAATATTCTGTAGAATGTAAAGGTTTTGTACATTGTTGTGGATTTTAATAACGTGTGTGTGTGTGTGTGTGTCTGTCTGTCTGTCTGTCTGTCTGTGTGTGTGTCTGTGTGTCTGTCTGTGTGTGTGTGTGTGTGTGTGTGTGTCTGTCTGTCTGTCTGTCTGTCTGTGTGTGTGTGTGTGTGTGTGTGTGTGTGTGTGTGCAGGTGTCTTGCCTTCTCTGACGTATCAGGTGTTCTTCATGAAGAAGCTGTGGACCAACACCACGCCGGGAAAAGACACGATGGCCGACTCCATCTTCCACTACTACCAGGTGAGCAGCAGCGCTCAGAGAACAGTCTTTAAAGCTTTTATTCATTCATTTAAAAAGCAATACATGGGTCCTACGCCTGCAACGTGGCTGAGGGAAATGACGTCCTGCTTCGCTTTAGAAAAATTAACCTATGTGATCAAAAGGAAAGGAAATAAATGTACGGAAATACGGGACACGTTGATTCATTTCTTTGAGAGCGATCAAGTGGAAATTGATGAATATGAACATTTCACTCGGTGAGGTTTCCCTGAGTGTTCCATGTTGAGCCTGGGGAGTGTCATTTTTGTATTGTGTGACTGTATGTTCTTTCTATGTTAAAGAACCCATGTGAGACTGACCGTTGAGCGGCAAGGAGGCAGAGGCAGAACGTCCAAAAATATAACCCGACGTGGGCATTTATTAAAATAATGTGCACAAAGTTCACAGCCTCGATCCTGCTGTTCTCCGTGAACACATCCTGCAGCCACAAAGATCTCACACACACTACCAGCCTTCCAAGAAACAGCACCTAAATACACACACTAACAAGACACAGGTGAGGGGAGGAGCAAACACAGGGCACCAGGTGCACACAATCAACAGCCACAGACATGGGGGAAGGGGAACACTTTTAACATAAACCACAAACAGAGACAGACAAACTCAAACACAGACAGATGCACAAACTACATACATCTCGCCACCTACAAAACGACACAATCCGTAACGGAGGCCGAGATCTATGGGCCCAGAGATCACCTCCGTTACAACCCAAATAAACGAAGTATATTTCTGGTTGTGTTTCTCTGCAGGAGCTCCCTAAGTACCTGCGGGGTTACCACAAGTGTCTGAAGGAGGAGGTGCACCAGCTGGCCGCTCTGATCTACAGGGTGAAGTTTGAGGACGATAAATCTCACTTCATCAACATCTCTAAGATCCTGAAAGACCTCGTCCCTCAGGACCAGATCCGACACCTGTCCCCCGACGACTGGAAGAGGGTGAGCGCACGGAAAATGGATTTTATGACTGATTAAAGGACAAAGAGTAGATACGAATTAGGGGTCGACCGATATGGCTTTTTCAAGGCCGATACCGATTATTAGTAACCAAGGAGACCGATAACCGATATTTGGAACCGATATACATTTGCAACATGTTACTTTTCAACATCTTAAAACTGGTTTCCTCTCTGTGACCCTGAGTAAAGTAAATGAAGTAAAAAATAAAATTAAAACTTGTTCTGAACTTCTGATATTTGAGTCTCACATGAATATTCTAAATGTTTTCCGTGGTGTTTCCTGATGGAGTAACTTAGAGAAATGTATTATTTTGGCACCAGCTGACGTTAAATTGACCGGACTTCTTTCTGCGGATTGATATGACTGCACATGGTCCTTACTAAAGAAATTACACAAACAGCATATTGTCCAAATGGACCAATCAGAATCGAGCAATTAGACTGATAACACTCACATAAAAGAGGGAATGTTTCTTACATTATCCCATGTCAGATTCTGCATGTTTTTTTACACCAGGCTGGAAGACAACAACTCTTTGAAGTCTTCAGAGTTTTTATGTTTCTCTGTCTCTCCCTCTCAGTCCATCATGTCTCTGTTCAACAAACACTCGGGGAAATCTCGAGAAGAATCCAAACTGTCCTTCCTCAAAATCATCTACAAGTGGACCACGTTTGGCTCAGCCTTCTTTGAAGTCAAGGTAAATAGCAATATTTGTCATAAGGTGAATTTAAGTTTGGATCTGTTTCTTATGTTGTGGGAAAAGACCTGAGACCCCTTGTTTTAAATGATGTTCTTTCTGCAGCAAACAACTGATCCAAATTACCCAGAAACCCTCCTGATAGCAATCAACAAACATGGAGTCAGTCTCATTGATCCTAAAACTAAGGTGGGTGCACATTCATCACATTTCCAATAAATATTATGGTCAATTTTGAGAACAAATGTGTTCTCTGAACTACTTGCTTCAATTCCACCCAAGTCTCATAACAATTCAGATCAACCATTTATATTAATGTGATATAAACTGAATGTGTTTTTACGTCACATCTGCACCTGAAAGACAGTCTGGGACCAAACATGTCTTGGAGTCTGACTTCTTATCTTTCCTTTTTAAAAGATGAAAGAACTTCATTACCTGTAGTCAATGGTGTAACTTTGGTTTAAGAAGTGGGGGGGGGACACTAAACAGGGGGTCCTCCGCAATGAAGCATTTTCTCGATTTAATTCCATTTCCTGCCTTTCTACAAATATATTAGGGACTATGGTGTTCAAAAATCTAAGAAAAATGTATAGTGTATATAATGAGTGCGCAAACCTATCTAGTATCCTATCCATGTGAACCTGTTTTATTTGTGGGCGGACCTCACATCCTCTAGGGGGGTCCGGGGGCATGCACCAGTGGCGGCGCTAGGGGGTGGCTACTTGGGCTCAAGCCCCGGAGGTTTTCTGAAATGCCCCGAATGTTTCTCTTAAAGCAATCTTTTTTTTTTTTAACGTCTCGTGAGTAATGTGCAGTACCGGAGCCCAACAGAGAGGCAGCAGCTGCGGGACAGTAACCTGTGGTGCCCTGAAGAAGAAGTGAAGCGAAGAGTCTGCTTTATGCTCTCCGCTGTAGCCCCGCCTACAATCCTAAATCTGCCACTGGCATGCAGTCCCGGGAAGATTTGTTTCTTTAAATTGAAGTTAAATGCATCAATCTGGTGCATTTTGAGGGCAAAATTGAGATACAGCTCTCAACACTCATATGAAACAGAACTGTATATATTTCAATATTCAAAAAACCATTAGAATATGCTCACAACCAATAACAAATATTTGATCAACTCCACTCTCCTATCTTTAATTTACCTAGTCTGCATTCTTTCTTCTTATTTACGCATATTTGACTAATCACACCTTTTTAAACTGTTTTTAATTTTGTACTGACCTATAGCACACATTGGAATGATTTATTAACTTATTTTTTACAACTATATTAAACAGATGGAAATATGTGTGTACATAGATGACCAAACCGTTTGAGACCCAGTGAGATAACTTAGACTAAAGTTTACAATCTAATCGCTCAGCGAGTCCTTTAGCGTTATCTCAGCCTCTCAGTCCGACAGGAGAGGACTCTCCCTCTCCTTATTGATGAAACAGCTTCTAATCTCCGTTAGCTCCGAGCTAGCACCAGATGCTAACAACAACCCCTGTAACTGGTGGCGATGACCGTTTGCGTAAAAAAAACAATAAAACACATTTTGAAAAGTGGGGTTGACATGTCCCCTCTGTCCCCAGTGGAAATTACACCCATGCCTGTAGTACATTTATGTATTTAATACAAACATATTAGTGAACATACATTTCCTGTAGTCAGAGATAAATGTACATTCATTACAGATCACTGCGTCTAAAGCTTCACAATTCACATACCTTTTTAGTATCTAATCTGCTTGTGTTTAGGAGTGTGTGTGAACAGGGTACTGTACGGTTTCTGTGCTTTAACATAGTATTTATTCCCCCTCTCCTGCAGGACATCCTCACCACTCACCCCTTCACTAAGATCTCTAACTGGAGCAGTGGAAACACGTATTTCCACATCACCATCGGGAACCTGGTGCGCGGCAGCAAGCTGCTCTGTGAGACCGCTCTGGTGAGGAACTGGAGTTTATACTATTTAACACCTGAAAACAAACGCATTCATTTAAAGTGTTTATGTTGTTGAAGTGTGATCATGTGGAGACCATTTTTGATTATTATGTTAGTAGTGCATTATCAATGATTTAAAAGTCAAAGTCAAATAAATGCATAGAAATTTTATTAGTAGTTGTAGAAATAGGCATGGGAAAGTAATTTATAAAGTGCATTTCAACACAAGGCTTTACTTACTACTTTAAATAGCACTTAATGAAAATATTAGTTTAGTTAAGTAGGTTGAAAATGTATTTAATTATTTTACACCACTAGTTCTTAAAAAAGCTTTACTTTTAGTGGGAAATTGTACGAAGTTTGGCCAAAAAGACCACAAGAAATAGCGTCATTTTTGGTAAGAAGGTGCTTTAACCAAAACAACATGTTTATTTTGAACAGCACATCACTTAAAAGAAATAGAGCCACACATCCCGATGAATAAGCATGTATGTAATGCAGTGTGTCTGACCTTTGACCTCTGACCTCTCAGGGTTATAAAATGGACGACCTGCTGACCTCGTACATCAGCCAGATGCTGACGACGATGACCAAACAGAGAACGTCCCGGGGCAACAACAAGTGATCCATTCACCGTCACACACACACACACACACACACACACACACACACACACACACACACACACACACACACACACACACACACACACACACACACGGCAACAAGAGGCACTTATCCCATACACTCCTGTGTGATTTGAACCAAGACAAAGGTTATTGAGGAGGTTTTTTGGTGTTTCATTTGTTATTAATGCATCGGCCCCTGTCTTAAAAACTCACATATTGCCTTTAATTGAAGTTTCCCCACCTGTAACACGGCAATTTGGATTATTATAAACTGTTTATATTATCAGATGTTTTATTTACAATGCCATTCAAAGGTTAGAAATCTACTGCAACACAATCGTTTTTATTCAAAGGAAAGGATTATTACAATAGCTAATTCCAAACGTTTATCATATTATCAGAGTTTTCTTAATTAATTATCCATTTCATGAAACAGGGTTTTAATTCAACTTTTTTTGAGACAGAATTCAGAGAAATAAGACCAGAAATAGTTGGAAAATCCCCCGAAACAGAAGTCTATTTGTTAGTTTGTGTTTGTTTTGTGAAGTAGCATTTTCAATTCTCTATTTATGCTCAGAGATATTACAAGTTTACCAAACCAGCATTAAATATAAAGTCACTTCTGAAACCTAAGATGTAGACCATCAGATCTCATGTAGTGTTTTTTCTTTTAGGAGATACATTGACAGTTTTTGCAGACAAACTTAAAGGTGGGGTAGGTAATTCACTTCAGAAACACTTTTTGTTATATTCCATGGAATGCTCTTAACGTCCCGATAGCAATGAATATATTAAATGCTTTGACAAAAAATACATAAAAAATCTCATCTGTGGAAGCCGTAGTTCTGTAAAAAGCACGACCAATCATCTGAGCCGGCCCGGCTAAAGTAACTGGATGGCCTACCTGCCTGTCAGCCTTCCATCTGTGCACAAACTTATCTCGTGCCCTCATTGGTCATGTGGCGCGTTCGTGTGTGTTGGAGGTTGGCAGATTTTCACCGGTTGTGTATTTTCAAATTCTGGCGCACTCGAGCTGGTTTCTCCATTCTTACCTACCCTACCTTTAAGATATATTGAGAAGACACTGGATTAAAAAGTATCTTGAGGTGAACGGATGATTTTTTAACATGTTGTGTGTGCCACAAAGTTCCTCCTGATCCACGGTACCAAAACTACTTAACTATGTAAATGTACAAACCCTTAGCGTTGATCTTTCAGCATTGAGTCTTAATCATACCTGTTTATGTGACCACTGATGTAGATGTGAATAAATGACGTTTTGCAAAGAGCAAGGGGTTTGATTTGTCTTGAATACCGGCTGCTGAGGTTCTGGAGATCAATCTGGGCCAAAAGCTTTGATCGTTTAAAAGATACATTTGATCTTGAGCTTTGACTAATGCAAGAACGTTCTAATAATAAGTGAATAAAACGTTTCAAATGTTTGTGATTCTGCCCGGATCGCGCAGACTGCTTTTTGTATTAATGAGAGTGAAGCAATTTAATTACCTTGCGTTTTTCCAGGAACACCTTGGGGTGCAAAAAACTTCAACTCGGACGGAGCATTAAAAACGTAATGTTAATTGAGCTAATTAAGGTCATTATCTAATTGGATTGATTGGTTATTAATGTTGGATACTTGGAGATAAACAACTGTACCACCCAGTCACCACGATCTGAAAAGAGAGTATCCTAGAGGTTAATTAATAGTTTCCATCCATTTAAACTCTATTTTAAATATCGGATAGCATATACGTTCATTGTTTCATTAAGGCACACGTTAGCAATCCTTCAATGGTTGCAGAATATGAATTACATTTAAAAAAGACGCGGCATCTTTAACAAGAAAACAGACTCAGTCTAGTTTGGTTTTAAGGATCTACTGAATATTTTTAATCAATATTATAAAAGCAGTGGACAGCTGCATTCAATATGCTAATACTTCCTTTAAAGGGGACCTATCATGCAAAATGCACTTGTACGTCTGTCATACATGAATATGTGTCCCCGGTGTTCCAGGGAACTCACCAAGTGTCAGAAAACACAACCCTTTTTCCTCCATACCCAAATCTCTTAAAAAGGGGCTGCTACAGACTGATCCAGATTTGAACACTTCTATGACGTCACAGAAGTGGCGCTACGGCTATTGGGCCAACTCCACCAATCAGGAAGAGACAGCCACGGACATTGCCGTTGGAAAGCGCTGGATGGGCTGTAGTACATATGCCAGGCCTGTAGATGGTGCTGTTCTCACAGAATCAGCCCATGATGCAAAGACAGTGTTAAATTGAGCGAAATGAGGAATGGCTAAAATGCATGATCTGTTTGGTATTTTGAAAAATAAAAAGTATAAATATGCCTTATATAGGTATGGTCCTACACTATATTATTCGAAATATAGCATGATAGCGTCCCTTTAACCATTCCACCCCTGAGTTTGTGTGTGAAAGACTCACAATGTGGAGTAATTACTTATGCTTTGTGTTGTTCAGGGCACCTTTGACAGGTATGCTGCGCTTAAAACAAGCGGAAACACCGTTCTAAAATACACGGAGAATATACTCCTTAATCTTTCAACCTCGAGTTTGTGTGTGACAAAAAAACGACTCACAATAAGATATGCTTTGACGTCATAATATTTCATTAAAACAAAGTGGGGCAGTATTTAATATGGTGGAGGGGGGATAACATATGTTGCATCCAAGAGTTGTTTCAGATTTAATACAGGGAGGCGTGTGGTGCAGTGGGTTTAGTGCGCTGATCTTCGAATCAGCAGGATAGCAAGTTCCAAGTCCCACTGCAGTCAGCATGTCGTTGTGTCCTGAGACACTTCACCCAAAGTGCTCCTGTGGGGATTGCCCACAGGATTGAGTTGTAGTCGCTTTGGATAAAAGGGTCCTAACAACGGACATGTAATGTCATGCAGAGAGTGTTTCCAGATGTCAGTCGCAGAGTGTGTTCAGATGTGATCAGGAGATGTTCTCCAGATGCTGATAGGAAGGTGTTTTTCCAGATGTTTCCTAGATGACTCAATACCAGAAGGATGTTTACCAGATGTGGATAGGAGTGTGTTCCAGATGTGAAAAGAGTGTTTTCCAGATGTCATCAGAGATGTTCTCCAGATGTGATAGGACGTGTTCCAGATGTGAAAAGAGTGTTTTTTCCAGATGTCATCAGAGATGTTTCCAGATGTGATCGAGAGTGTTTCAGATGTCCCATGCAGAGTTTGTTTCCAGATGTGATCAGAGATGGTTCCAGATGTGGATAGGAGTGTCGTTCCAGATGTGACAGAGATGTTTCCCAAGATGTGATCAGCGATGTTTCCAGATGTGCATCAGAGATGTTTCTCCAGATGTGATAGGAGTTTCCAGATGTGATCAGAGATGTTTCCAGATGTTATCAGAGATTTTTCCAGACTGTGATCGAGATGTTTCCAGATGTGATAGGAGTGTTTCAGATGTGAAAAGAGTGGTTTTCAGATGTAGTGGCAGAGATGTTTCCCAGATGTGATCAGAGTGTTTTCCAGATGTCATCAGAGTTGTTTCAGATGTTTCCAGATGTCCATCAGAGATTGTTTCCGATGGTGATAGGAGTGTTTCCAGATGGTGAAAAGAGTGTTTTCAGATGTCATCAGAGATCGCTCCTCTTCCAGATGTGATCAGAGTGTTCCAGATGCATCGCAGAGTTGTTTCCAGATTGTGATCAGAGATGTGTTTCCAGATGTGATAGGAAGTGTTTCCAGAGATGTGAAAAGAGTGTTTTCGAGATGTCATCCAGAGATGGTTTCCAGATGTGATCAGAGGTGTTCAGATGTCGATCAGACGTGTTTCCAGATGTGATCAGAGATGTTTCCAGATGTGAATAGGAGTGTTTCCAAGATGTGATCAGAGTGTTTCCAGAGTCATCAGAGTTGTTTCAGATGTTTGAGATGTCATCCAGAGATGTTTCCAGATGTGATAGGAGTGTTTCCAGATGTTGAAAAGAGTGTCTTTTCCAGATGTCATCAGAGATGTTTCCAGAATGTGATCAGAGTGTTTCCAGATGTCATCAGAGTTGTTTTCCCAGATGTGGATCAGAGATGTTTCCAGAATGTGATAGGAGTGTTTCCAGATGTGATCAGAGATGTTCCAGATGTGATCAGACGATGTTTCCAAGTGTGATCAGAGATGTTTCCAGATGTGATAGGAGTGTTTTCCAGATGTGATCAGAGATGCTTTCCCTGTTTATCCACGCCAGCACTTTTTTCCAGATGTGATCAGAGGTTTCCAGAGTGTGATAGGAGTGTCTCCAGATGTGTCAGAGCTGTTGTTCCAGATGTCATACAGAGTTGTTTCCAGATGTTTCCAGATGTGATCAGAGACGTTTCAGATGTTATCAGAGATGTTTCCAGATGTGATCAGAAGATGGTTTCCAGATGTGATCAGAGATGTTTTCAGATGTCATCAGAGTTGTTTCCAGATGTGATCCAGCAGATGTTATCCAGATGTGATAGGACGTGTTTCGCAGATGTGATAGGAAGTGTTGTTCAAGATGTGATCAGAGATGTTTCCAGATGTCACTCAGAGATGTTTTCCAGATTATCAGGAGTTGTTTCCAGATGTTAAGATGCTGCGTCACGGTTGCCAGTTGACTCCTCTCTGCCTGAGAGTTGACGCTGGAGACGGCCCCAGATGTCACTCATCTCTGAGAGGGAGGAAGACGGACCAGGTGAGGGTTAAAGNTATCATGAATATTAAACCAACACTTTCTCACTCCCAACCCGTCACATGTTGACGGTCGGTCAGGGCCCCTCCCCGTCACTCTATTACGTACAGGGTACCGGGTACCCTGTACGTAATAGAGTGACGGGGAGGGGCCCTGACCGACCGTCAACATGTGACGGGTTGGGAGTGAGAAAGTGTTGGTTTAATATTCATGATAATATTTGTCATTGATCAAATGATAATAAACAAACATTTGCATAAAGCATATTTGTCCACTCATATGTTGATAAGAGTATTCAAAACTTGAAAAATATCCCTCAAAGGTACATTTCACAGATAAAAAAATTGCGATTAATTTGCGATTAATCGAGATTAACTATTTTAATCGACTGACAGCCCTAGTTATAATAAACATACATACGTACTGTATGTTACATGGATATACCCGCCTTCTTTCATTTATCTTTCCATTCCCACAACAATATACATAAAGAAATGGCATATTTTGGACATAGTTCGAATGGTGATTAATCATGATTAATAAATTTTTAAGCTGTGATTAATCTGATTAAAACATTTAATCGTTTGACAGCCCTAATTTTAACATGTGCATTCCTTTCAGGTGATTTAAACATTGTTTTGCTCTTTGTCATGAATTAAAACATGCCTTTTAACCTGGTTTCTGCTGTTTTAAAGTTTTCAATTAAGTTAAAAGTGATATTTTGTGTTTGCAACAGGATTTATAAGGTCAGGTAACCTTTCCCTTACTGATAATTAGATGAAATTACATTTGTTTCACTTAAAGCAAACAATGATCAGTGACTAAATAGAAACTTACTGTATATTTTAGTGTAATATATCTGCCTATATCATTTTATTACCTCAATGAAAGTAAAAAGAGCAATTTGTGTAACTAATAATTACATTATTATGGGTTATAGTATTCATTGAAGTGCATTTAAAAAAAAACGTTGTTGTATCATAACAACATACAAAATGTATACACGTTGATCATCCCTATAATAATAACATACTAATTAGTAATAAGACTAAAAGATTTAACAAAACCTGGATTGTCTATGGTCTGCAGTTGACTTTAGCGTACATGGTATGTCGTTTTCAGCATCATTTATTATCTCCTATCATCCCTAAACTTTATTTCCAATTTCATTTGACCTTGTTTGTTTAATAGACTCTGCTATGTTATTACCAAAGACTTTAGTTTTGCTACAATACAATCCTACTTTGTGAATTACAATCAATCTCTTCAGACATTTCCATTTCACATGACCTAAAAGTTGTTTAACATTCTTTCCACAAGTATTCATGAAATTAAATGATATCTTGATGTTTAGAAAGCTTATACAATTATATACGTATATATATAACAGTGGTCCTACAATAGAGCCTTGGCGAACCTCACAAGTAACCTTATACAAACTTTAAGAGTAATGCTATTTACTTATTAACAATGTGTGTAACCACTCCATTGCCATGTATTTATAAAATGTTCATAGGTTCATCATATTTTATAGTTTTAAATGAAAAATAACAAAAAATACCCATATTTAGTTCAGGGTATTTAATGTTTTGATTAAACCTTCCAAACTTCTATAACAATATGTCTTCCATTGTGTATCATATTTTACTAAGAGAGCTCTGCCAGCAAAGTCATCTGACGGTATATCATTTGGAGCGAATCATAATGTTTTTTACACAAGACATGTCAACTGCACTTGTATTCGGTTCCCCTTAGCCTATCACGTGCAATGTGTTGGAGCGCTAGCCAATTGAAGCGTGAGTCTTACGTCATTATGTGACAGAGGTAAACAAAGGAGTCCAAAGGAGTCCAATGGAGGCGTTTCAGGCGGGGGGGGGGGGCTTTGCAGACCATTTACATTCACTAAAACCTACACCTTTACAGGAAAGGGGATACCCCAAAAAGCATAAAAGGGCCTCTTTAATGAAACATTTGTATAGCATATCAAAGTTTTACATCTAATATGACTTTTGTATGAACATACTGGTAAATGTGTTGAGGCGGGCAGGGAAGATAGTGGCCGACCTCTCCCACCCTGGACACAAACTGTTCACCCCCCTCCCCTCTGCGCTCCATCAGGACCAAAACCTCTCGCTACCTGAACAGTTTCTTCCCCTCCGCTACCGGCCTCTTAAACAAGGCCCCCCCACTGACACTTTACCTCAGCCACAACGTAGTCTCTATACACATTACATTTAATGCACACAATGTTCATTACTGCTTACTGAAACATATTCTGTTTCATATTCAATATTTTATACCCTATAATCATACCCTATAATTCATTCATAGCATTCTATTTCCATGTAAATTACTGTTTATTTTATTGCTATTTAACTATATTTTATTACGGCATCCTTAAAGATTTTTTGTTTTATATTTTATGTACAGTATGTACCAAGTCAAATTCCTCGTATGTGTGAACTTACCTGGCAATAAACCTGATTCTGATTCTGATATTGTTTGTTCTTGATGAGGTCATGTGACCACGCACCTGTGGCTGCCGTGTGCTTTTATGACACCATTTACCGCCACTGCAGTCAGCATTTGGTTAGGGTTGCATTTAGAACTTTGAGTGTGCCAACCTATTACTCTGATATGCTTATGGAAGCAGCATGCACTTAAATGAATCATTAGTTTTACATTACAGACTAGTTTTCTTAAAAATAAAAATTCAAACAGGATCTGCCTCAAGCTAAAGGATCATTTTGCAAAGTTTTGATTAGCAGGTTGAAATGAACTGACGGAAAAGAGATGCAATCAATATAGATTTCCAGTTCCTGAAAATCAAATGAGGTAATTACTTTAATTGGAAGGTTTGATGCATGGTAACGCGAAAGATGAAATTCAGACTAAAAATAAATATATTTTCCTAATTAAAAATGCAGTTTGCAGAATTTTCAAGAAGTGAAACGTCCCAAAAGTGTTTTTAAGACTCAAGAGGAATACATAAGTGAAGCTTTTCTGGGAAGAACCCTTTACAGAACACTGATTCTGCTGTGTTGAAGGACTTTCCAAATCAGGTTTTTTAGGTCAGACACGGGAAAAAAAAAAATACAACTTGAAGCCTGTAATGTCTTTCCCTGAGGAATTTGGTCGGGGTTATATAAGCTGTGCATGGTTGGGTTGTTTGCCTGAAGATCAACAACAATGTCAGATGCATCACATCAGAACAACTTGTTCACTTGAGGTTGTGAAGGCGGCTCCCCCCCACGCGCGGAACGAATATTCGCTGCTGATTACTACCGATTATCTGGAGCCCGAAAAATGGTATTCGGGACAGCCCTAATATGGATTCCCTTGAGTGATTATGAACCTATGCCTCAAAAATGAACTGCCATTTTGATCATGTTCAGCCGCTGGCCATCATGGCTTCTTCTCAATTTGTTTAACTTGCTCTCTGTAGACTTGTGTGTCATTATATAATGGTTCAAACCAGGAGGATAGCATCAATGTTTTGTATGCCTTGGAGTGTAAGCCAATAATCTGTGGCTTGTGTACAAGCTGGCAAGTTCTGCAAAATAAGAAAAAACAAACAGATATTGTCAATAAACCCAGTTTTGGGTTTATAGATCTTGTATTTTTTAATGAAACTGTCACTATGACAACAATGCAGAAATAACGCCATACTCATATTGATTAGTAAAAACCATGAATTAATGCTTTGGCAAGAGTGGCCGTAAAATGGCTGGCAAAAACATTCAAAATGTGTTTTCTGAATGGAGCTCAGATCGATCATGCTAAGCTAAGCTAAGCTACAATTGTGGCTGCTCAGTCCACAATCAAAATAACTTCATATAGACATAAATCTACTGTAGTAGTTACTTTATATGACATATACAGTATAGTTGATGGACTGTACAAATATGAGGAACTGTAAGCTCTGTGAGCCAATGGCTGATATTTGGTTCCCTAATTCAACATCGTCAGTATTTCAGTGACGACAGGTGGAGATTCTCCCTGCTGATCGTAACTCACACATTTCTCTTTTAAATAAAAAATGTAACTCTCACACTTCTTTGCAATGAATTTACTTGTACAGTAAATGCACGGCGCAAAACTTTTACTTTGTGTCACAATGAGGCCTGGTCCCACTATGGGTCTGTGATTCTAGAAGGCGTCCACTATAGACATATATTATATATATATTATATATTATCTTCATGAGCTTTTACTGCATACTCAAGGTTGTCAACTGTAAACATGTGGATAGAAAATAAAAGGTAGAGGGCTTAGGAAGTGGTTGTGGTAGCTGATGCGCAGGCTTGATGGTGGATTTGATTACCTTTGTGCTCTCCAAAATGTCCATGCTTCACATACAAATACAACCAGTTGACTCTTTTCATACAAATCTGACAGTTCAGAGAAATCTGAATAAGAAAAAAAGGAGGAGGCGGGTCATACAGTAAATCATCCACAACTTCTTGGAGGTAAGAGGCGCAGGTCAAAGTTCACAAATTAAACTGGCCGCAGAATATTCTTGCAGAGTTACTTCCCTTCTACCACACATTTTAATTATAAAAATGATTATTAAGGAGGTTTTGCTTTAGGTTTGGTGTGTTGGTCTGTTTGTCAGGAGGTTTATGGAATACTTATGGAAGTATGGAGAATGAGCCAATGGAGAACCCAACAAGCAACAAAGCAGATCTGAATAACGGAACAAATATACAATAATGTTTAACGTTTGGAAACTGCCTCAACACACGTCCGATTTCTA